GGGGGGGGGGGGGGGTAATGGTTTTTGGCTAGAAAAAGAAAAATTCCTTTCCTCGTTCGGTGTTTTTTTTTGGCGCTTTTTGTTCGTTAATTTGGCCTGTTTGATGTAGTTATTACTATTTATTTAGGTGCTTTTTATAGCTTTCGTCATTGCTGTAGGTCCCTTTTTTTTTTTTTTTTTTTTTATAAGGAAAACGTGGTGTGCTGGTCGAGGGGATTTCCATTCTTGGAATAATCTTGTGATCGAACTTTGTGATATCTGTTCGAACACATTAGCCCGATCACGCAGCAGTGATACTCAAGGGTTTAAGTGTCGTGTTTTTTATTTATTTATTTATTATTATTATTTTTTTTAAATCCCGCTCGATTTTTTGAATCCGACGCCCCCAGATACTCAAGGATTTAAAAAATCCCGCTGGTATGATGAAACTGGTATATGTATCAGCCTCTACTGACTGATGAGTCGGTCGATGAAACTACGACGAAACACTTTGTCACAGCCCCTCCCTCGTTTGTTGTCCTCTTCCCCCTCTTGTCCCTCTCTGCCTACGGTTGGTTTACTGGGCACCTCTGCTTGACTATATATATGTACATATAAATGTGTACACTTTTGGTTTTTGTTTGTTTTTCCTTTAAATGTGTGTGTATATAAATGAAACTGTATTAATATTCACAATGTACATGTTTAGTGGTATTATCTCCTGCAGGCCCTCGGTTCGAGTCCCTCCCTTTTTTGTCTCTCTTTACCTACGGTTCACCACCAGGCAGTTTTCTGTGGCAATAGAACGGATATTTGTATGAAATAAGTTTTTTTTGCCCCCCGCCCCCCCAGGGCCCCCTTCGACCGCTACCAATGACCAAGGGTTGAGTTGTCTAAGCTGACGGGTGTGTTCAGGAGGACACTACCAAGCGGCAGAGACGGGTTTGTTCTCTGAAAGTTCGTTGATTTATCCGATCGTATTGCGCTTCTGCGTATTGGTACACTGCACGTCAGTGCCTCCTTTCCACCTCTCAAGCCTACAGCAGGTGTCGCGCAGGTGTCGCACAGGGATCGGAGAGTGAATAGGTGTCGCACAGGGATCAGACAGCGAATAGGTGTCGCACATGTGTCGCACAAGGATTGTGCAGGGAACGTTGTCGCGCAGGTCAGGTGTCGCACAGGGGTCGGACAGGGAAGAGTGTCCCGCAGGTCAGGTGTCGCAAAGCTGTCGCACAGGGTTCGGAGAGGGAAGAGTGTCGCGCAGGTGTCGCACAGACGTTGCAAGATCTTGCACAGCTGCCGCACAGGAGTGGCACAGTTTGGGGGAGGCTGTGTTGAGCCCCTCTCTCTTGGTCTACGGCACAGCCACAGATCTTGTCGACCTGTGTTTGGAAAAGACTGGTAGAGGATCAAAATAGTAAGAGGACTGACTGTATATCGTCACAAACAGAACTGCCCGGTAAACCGTAGGCAGAGAGAGAGAAGAGGACAACAAACGAGGGGCTGTGACAAACTGTTTCGTCGGAGTTTCACCGACTCATCAGGAGGCTGAACCCTCAACAGTCTGCAGAATC